ACATGTGATTCAAATTTATTGCGTTTGTTTTGATTTTCTGTTTATATTTCATTGTTACTTTGTCACCAGCAATTCATAAGGCCCATGTTATTTTTTTTTTTAGATTTTAAAGGGATTCTGTACATCTAAAGGCAAATATCTTTCTAACAGTATGCGTAGATTTTCCCTGTGATGCACACAAGCTGAGAAAAAAGGTTTTCAAGAAACATGCAGCATTTCAATATATGGATAGTTTCACCTAAATGTAATTTGCAGTTACTTGACAATTCAATTGAAATTAATTTTAATGTTGAATCGTACAAGCATATATGTAAGGTAATATTTACCAAATTTATGAAACTACTGAAACTAGTTAATATACTTATTTTAAATTATAACAACATTTAAAATTTTAGTCTCAAAATGTTAACACGGCTTTCACATAATTAGAAAAAAATTCTTTCTTACACTCATCTATTGCATATATTAACAAACTGTTATGTAATCTTTAGCCCAAACCCAATCATTACATTACTTATATATTTCTTAAATATAGGAAGGCTTATAAAATCAATTTCATAACTTTTTAATCACACATCTTAGAATTTAGAATTGAACAAAACAAAGAGGAACTAAATAATCAACTTTGTAAATTAAAATAATGTTACAAATCTAAAATATTTGTTAGTTTTCAACATTGACAGATGAGATATAAATAAATAACCGACAGCCAACACTAAATAAATGTAATTTTTATTCAAACTTTAAAAATAAAAATTTGTTAAAACTATCAGAAGAAAGAATAAGAAGAAGATTTACCCACCACACCTAATATTACTCATACATTACCTGATCACAATAATAAATAAACCTAAAAAATACTACGAACCAAACCTAAACCTGTATGGACACTAATAACATATCTGTACAACACAAAATTTGTTAATGAAGACACAATATGAATAACAAACAATACTGTTGAAAATACAAGATTTTTATTAAAACATTTTTTTATAAAAGAAAAAACTTGAAGATATAAAATTCTATTTTTGGTGAATTTTAGTGATAATAAGAATAGCTAAGAGTGTTTGATCAAATACTAAGGCAGCAAAATAATACTAAGACACAGTTGTTGAGTGTAAGCCCAACACTATTAATAGAGAGGTTTTGCATTTTCATGAAAATCTTGTTAAATGCAAATGCAAATGCAAAATGTTAAAAATAGCGTTTGGCGTTTAACGTAAGAGCGACAAATTTAGAGTTTTTGTATCTCCGTAAAAATTATGTTTAACGCGAACACTTAACGTAAAATGGAGCTGAGGTGTTGTATTTATCAATGCTTAGAGGTTAGGATTGTTTAACCCTAGCAGTGGCCAATCGTCGTCTGGTGAGGATATGACGTTGATGCTTAATGGCCAAAGTCGTCTGGTGACGATATGGGCCGAAATTTTTTTAACGGTAAAAAAAACACTTATAATCAACTCAGATGAGAATAATATATATACCATTCGAAAGATCACATTCTGAACTTTCATTTTATTACATAAACAAACCCTGTAGCAGGTATATAACAATGTCACGACGATTAGAAATCAAATGATTTTTTAGCGCGGCACGACTTTTGCAGCCGACAATTGAGAACTGGCAAAACACGTCTTGTTTGGCATTACCCAGCTCGGGTAATTTTCGTCTTGGGATGTTGCGGGTGGTACCACTGGATAGCCATTGATTTTATCTTCATTGTGGTAGTGATATTTAGAACGAAATATTGATTGCACAACCGGTACGATTTTAGGAAAACAGCTGTTTTCAAAATTTTTAACAAATGGCCAATGGTCGTCAGGTGACGATATGGAAAATACGAATTACATACAGTGTAATTTATTATTACAATTCATATAGTATGTCATTTTGAAGAGGAAGAAATATAGATTCAGAGAGTGGCAGCCCTGCACTCAGGGTTATTTCTGTATGCTCGCATGAAGGGAAGTGAGTCATTACTGCTACAGTCTGTCAGCTGTCTTGTACTCGCCATTGTTTGTTTGTGTTGTTGCCGGTGAGTGTTCGTTCTCGTGTTATCCGCGATTTATTACTAAATACGTTATTAGTTCGTAGTGTTAGTGTTAGTGAAGTTTGTGTGTGTGTATAACAGTAATCTTCATGCATTTTATTATGCATAAATATTACTGAATTGTGTGAAATAGTGTTCATAAAAGGTTGTATTTTGTTAGCATCATGTCCAAAATTGACGGTTCTGACATTCAGAGATTGTTGTAGGCCTACGAGACGGACCTTAGTTCGCCGTGCTATATATGCTATATAATGATATACCCAAGGTGTTATACATTTTTATAAAGGTAAATGAATACACTACAACATGTTTATATTGGTTTGGGGGTAAAAAATTCGGTGAAAAAGTTATATACTAAATACTGTACACTCCATTTTCTCAAAATGCGCAAAAAGTTCAAAACATTCTCAAATTGACACATAGTCAGAGGTGAAAATAACTTTTTAACATTATACTTGTGACTTTTTTGGATTCCTTATTTCATTAGCTTTAGAAATATGTACATATCATCATTAGTTTATACATATATTACATGATGTTTCACAACAAAAACAAACACTGTATAGTTTACGCCGTTTTGCGGATTTGCTGTTATTGTATTATTATGTCCCTGTTACGTACAAAAAAAATAAAAAATATTTCTAACATGTTATACATTTTTATGTAGGTAATTGAATACACTACAAGATTATTATGTTGGTTTGAAGTAAAAAAAATTGCTGCAAAAGTTGTATACCAAATACTGTGAATTTTCTTTTCTTACGAAACCGCTAAAATATAAAAAAAATATTTTATATACATATGTTTATAGGTAAAAAACTATTTTTACCATAAACTTTATGACTTTTTTTTATTCCTTACTTCATTAGCTTTACATACATGTATATTTCATTATTAGTATACACATATATAAATTTTTACAACATAAACTAACACTAGGCCTATACGGTTTTCAATTTTTTCGGTTATCCGTTCGTCATTATATTTCGCCCCAAAAACTTATTTCTATGTAGGGAATTAGATTGTCTACAAAATGTATATAATGAATTTCCCATAAAAAATCTGTAGGAAAAAAAATACCAAGGCTGCTTTTGAAATTTCAAAAAAAAAAAAAAATAAATTCTTTTTATTTTTTTTACTTTACCGATAAAATACACTGTCTAAATCATTATGATATTACTATTTCTAGATTCTCCTGTTCTTTCCGAACAAAATGAATATGGGGTTGGCTAGGTTTACTTGTACGGTTGAATTTTTAAGAATTTTCAAAAAAAGGTCTGCAAAATCGCCAAAATGGGTTGGTCATTCCCCACTTCTAACATTGGCCACTGCTAGGGTTAATAATACTTAATTGCGATTGATTTTGTAGTTATAGAGGACATTTGAACTTTATCAGCTTTAGGAGCTATAACTGATCAAAGTTCTATGGTTTTCACATAGAACTTCTTTTAATAATACTATTATTTAATGATTTAGGGTGAATCTCAAACATTTTTATCCATATCGAAGACAAATTTAAAAAATCTGATCAAGCTTAAAAAATGAACTTGGCACACACTTTCAACTTAGGTTATGTTTAATTGTTTACACTTAACAGCTGACTTTAACGTTTACAATAAAACACTATGATAAATCCCAAATAGTGGCTATACGTTATTGAGGCCGGTAAACGATAATCACTAAAAATTAATGTTTAACGTTTAGCGTATTTAGTTAACATCAAGTGCAAAAACTCTCTAATAACAAAATAATAATATATAAAAAATACAGTAAAAGGTGGATAAACTGTTAAACAGTATACCTAACTTTATCTAAACTGATTCAATAGAGTGGACAAAAGATCAGAATTATAAAAAAAATTAAATGTACCTACCCTAAAAAACTGTAAGAAACTGCAGCCTTTAACTGAGTAGATGTGATAAAATTTGTTAGTCCTATTTTTAAATATTTAAGTAGTTAAAGCCTAAGTAACGACTTTGGCTGCTGAAAATGATCAATCAAAGCAGTGTGTGAATTAAGGAATAAGCATATAACAAATTAAACACTTTTGCTTGTAACTTACATAGTAACGACATAACCACAAGAATGGTAATAAGTAAATAACTAAAGCAGGAAACAAAATGAGTAAAGATTGTTCATCATATTCTTACAAGGAGCAGTTTTAAAGGATTATATTATAAGTGAGTCGCAGCCGAGTCTCGACACATGTCTGGCGGCCCTCCATATGTCCTACTCGTGCACGTGTCGCGAAAGTAAAACTATGTTAAATAACAGTCGACTAGTGTTTTATGTGAAATTTTGACACACCTCTTCAGACAAGAATGGTTCTTATAAGGAATTTATGATGCCAAGTGTCGAAATGATACCAAAATCCAGAAATCCGAAATCCTTAGTTCCGAAATCCAGTAGGATAAACATGGACCAAAAGGCGAAAACAGTTAACAGTTATTTAACCTTTTTGTGGACTATTTATACATATCGCTTATCTCAGTGAGACAGACTATTAAAAAAACTTTTATACAACGGTTGCACTTTCAATTTGGCACCCTAGGGGCAAACTGCACTATTGCTATAATTATATTGTTTTGACTAATACCATATTTGCCCAGATAAATCACAATCTAAATGATTCAGTAGCTGTAGCGGATAAAGTGAGGTACACCGTACATAATGTAGTTAATGTTTTAAAGCAAGAGTCTATTATAATTTTAAGGAAAGTAACATTAAATAAAAAATAAAAAAACAGGAAAACTACGAGATGAGTATTGCATGTGTAAGTTTGATTCCTTCAACAACATTTCAATAATATACTAAAAACCAATTAAAAATCTTTACTCTAACAAACTTTTGATCTAAAATACTTTCTCTAACAAAAATAAATACTATGAAAAATCACATCACATAACAAGTGTTTCTATAAAACTCTTTTGTTATAAAACATTTATGTATAAAGTAACAACGTATAAATATCACCAATAGCCAATAGAAACACACCAGTAAAATATCTTCTCGTATAAAAAATAATAAACTTGTACTCATTTGTACAATACTATTCGTTGACCAACAAGTTACAAACGAGTAACACGTCCAGGATGATTTTGACAAACCCTCTTGGTAAGAAATTACTAAATTAGCGTAGACAATACAAGGAAATATAAAAGCTTTAGACAATAGAAAATAAAGATTTCACAGCCGCACAGTAACATAGTGACTCTGTTAGTTGTAGGAATGATGTAGGTTGTGTGTGAGAAGATGGAGATGAGAAGATGAAGATTAACCCTGAATGCCGACTGAAAGACCGTTGGAAGCGACCTTGGTGAACTGATCTTTAATGGGAGACGGCTGCCGACGGGTCCCAGCTGGAAACATGGGTAGTACCAGAAGAGCAGCAACACCCAACAAGTGTAGGCTGAAGTACATGTTTCTGGAAACCAAAAGCTATCAATTTACTGACAAACCTACCAAAAAATCCACATTTACAAAAATAAAAATAAAGATGATTCATGGTCGATACAGCACCTGCCACATACAAATTGGAGTTTTTGAAGTTGAAAATACTTAACCAAGCAGATTCCAGGGTTAATTTATGTATGAAATAAAAGTACTGTATGTAAAACGTATCCTACAGAGTCTAATCTGCTAATGTTAATCTATAGTAGACTATACTATGGTAAAATATTTATACATCACAAACACACCAAATTGTCAGCTGACTAAATACATTGGTTCGTTGATGACAGAGCTAACCCCAGACCCCCGCTACATCTAACCTGACTTATAATGTTCAAACTCTTCAAGATAAACCTACACATGTATCAGCATATACTCTGGTCGGGTAGCAGCAAAATATTTCAGTTCTGGCGGGGAGACTGTGATTTTAGGTGGTTATAGTAAGTTTCTGAACCTAAAACCGCCCAGTCCCCAATTTTTAAGGACCTCGGTCGTCCGTAATGACGTCATAAAGATGGCGGCAGTAAGAGGATGCTGGGTCGCCATGAATTGGCTATAATAACCGAATGCCTGAACCGATTTTTATGAAATTTGGCACACAAGTGCTTGAATACAATATCTCGGCACAGGTTGTCAATGGTCGAGTTTGATAAAGTCGTTTCAAAATGGCGGCCGTTAATAACTAAAATAATAAACATTTTTCAGTGTTTTTTTGTTCTCAACTCCCTCCAGAGATCTGCAGCTACCTATTCATTTTCCTTGCAATCACAGGTTGTGATGCCATCTCTGCATGTCATAGAATATAAAATACCCCCACCACAGCAAACCTGCAGACTATGTGAGCTTCCATTGCCCTGATTTGATTTTCAATTAAATCAATTTCAATAACATTAAGTTTCATGAGTACATACCTAGGTTTGCTGCTACAGGGAGGGTAATAAAGTGAGTTTATATTAATAGCTCAGTTTAAAATTAATAAATTTGCCAAGTGTCATTAAAATATATCCATAAACAAGCAAACTACAACCGTTTATGTACTCTCCGTAATAATAACATGGGAATTTTAAATTTATGTACGCTGTTTTGAATTTTCTCCTTAACTAATTAACTTATAATACCCCCGCCGCAGCAAACCTGCAGACTAAGCGAATTTCCATTTGCCTGATTGGATTTACTCTAAAATATCTCCTTAAAAATATCACATTTATTCCCCATTTAAATAGCATTGGTTTAACGAGTACTTAGGTTTGCTGCAACAGGGAGGGTAATAACGTGTTTTTTTTTTGTGAAATATAATAGTTTGGTATAAAATGAATACATTTTTCAAATTTGATTAAAATATTTCATAAACAAGCAAAGTACAACAGTTTAAATATTTATCCATAAGAATAACATGGGAATTTTAAATTTAAAATTTTTTGGAATTTTCTCCGTAACCATTAGCCGCATAACGACACTTCAATATACTAAATTATTTGTTTTTTTAGGCTCCACAATATGGTTGGGAAAGAAATTGCCAAATCTTATGTTTTTTTTGCTCCAAAATGGGAAAACCCAATTTTTACCCCATAAAACCGGGGGTTTATGGGGACCCCCGATTCCATAATCCGGTCATGCTAGTTCGCGTAAAAAAATTAATTGGTATCTTCTACCTTAATTGGTTTCTTCGAACGACGAACCAGCGTGGTCGGGCCATGGGAACGGGGTTTTTAGGGGGATTTAAAGGGTAAAAATGTGGGTTTCTTATGTTTGACTCTCAAAACATGAAATTACATAATTTATCTCTAAACTTTTTTGTAGAGCTTAATGAAACAAATAATTTAGTGCATTAAAGTGTTTGCATAAGGTTATTGGTTGCCAAGAAAATTTAAAACATTGTAAATTTTAAATTTCCATGTTATTATTACGCAGAATACATAAACGGTTGTAGTTTGCTTGTTTGTGATTATATTTTAATGAAACTTGGCAAATTGATTTATTTGAAACTAAGCTATTAATATGTTAATAAAAAATCACTTTATTACTCTCCCTGTAGCAGCAAACCTAGGTAGACCTACTCATGAAACCTAATGTTATTGAAATTGATTTTATTTAAAATCAAATCAGGGAAATGGAAACTCACTTAATATGCAGGTTTGCTGTGGTGGGGGTGTTTTGCCTATCCTATGAAATGCAGGGACGGCATCACAACCTTTGATTGCAAGGAAAATGAATAGGTTGCCGCAGATCTCTAGAGGGAGTTGAGAACAAATAAATACTGAAATTTTTTTATTATTTAAGTTAGTAACGGCCGCCATTTTGAAACAACTTGATCAAACTCGACCATTGACAACCTGTGCCGAGATAATTTATTCAAGCACTTGTGTGCCAAATTTCATAAAAATCGGTTAGGCATTTGAGTGTTATAACCAATTCATGGCAACCCAGCATCCTTTTACAGCCGCCATCTTGATGACGTCATTACGGATGACCGAGGTCCTAAAAAATTGGGGTCTGGGCGGTTTTAGGTTCAGGAACTAGTATAACCATGTAAAATTGCAGCCTCCCCGCCAGAACTGAAATATTCTGCCACTATATGCAACTATACAACCCCACTAATAATCAGGGGTGGTGGAAGCAGATTTTTGTTAGGGGGCCAGAACCTATGATGGGAAAAACTTAGAAAAATCAATTCCTTAAAAAGTTTTTAGGCTACCTGCAGACCATTTTTCTTCAAGCAGTAACAAAGAAAATTTACAATTTAACAAGACGCTACTCTGTTCATTGTAAGTAAACAAGCTCTAGGCCCTAGGGATTCATATGTGTTTGGGTAATTTCGGCCGGCTCTGCCTCTCCCCTAAACAACTGAATAAGTAATAAGTTAAAATTGACTGTAAGAAAGTAGGGTGTAACCAAGTAAGTGTGTACACGTAATTGCTGGTAAGACAAGCAGCAACTTGTCAATCTTTACTACTTCAGACAAATATAATTTGTTTTCTTGAGGCACACTATTTAATGTAATAGATTATTATCAACAACATTATTTAACTTTGTACTTATCTTCAGTAACTGTTGTTAGGCCTACTTATAATTTTCTTCTTGGGCCAAAAAATAAACTTATACAGTACAGAAAGCTTTATATCCTTACACTTTTTTAAATGAACCCCTGACCCTTGACCCCTCTGACCCTTCCTAAAATTTCAGGGGGGTCAGTTGACCCCCTGACCCTCCGGTTCTGCCGTCACTGAGCATAATAATGTCTTGGGGCTCAGACATTGTACCTATTACTTTATAAGAAAATTGGAGATACTTAAATTTTGTTGAGTTAAAGAGGCCCAGTAGCAAACTGAAATATCAGGGACTTTACAGGGATATCCAGGAGCTGTAAACACACTGTGATTGGGCTGTTTGCCATCTTGGACTTTCGTACGAGCAGGAGGGACGTAATTTAAGACATACCAACATGTCATAACATTTATAAATGTCTATAACGCCACACTACACGGTTTTAACAAACTTCCCATGCAAAGATTCAGTCCAGAAAACAGCTGTTTGCTGCCAGCTTAATCAAATAAGGTTTCATTACGTACTACTGTACTGTAATGAGTTTTTACCGGACACCAACCAGCTGATTATATTTGGCAATGAGTAGTTATAAACAAACCCCTAACCTCTCTTTGAGGTTATGAGAAGTGATTGGTCCACTGGTGGTTAGTGTGTGGGTTGAAGTAAGTGATAAGTGGTAAGTGGTAGTTAGGTGGTGAGTAGGGATGGACGGGATTGAATTTTTAGTTCGGGACGGGACGGGACGGGATTTTTATTTCCTTCCCAATTTTCGGGACGGGATTTTTTTCTGTGCATAAAAAGAAAGTCTTGAGTATTGCAGTTACCAAAAAAGGCATACGAAATCAATCTTTACCGTTTGTGGCACTGATCTATAAAAAACCAAAAAATGGGCAATTTTTCAGGTACTTATAGAAACATCGAACTTTCGGTACCTATAGCGGTCGAAAGGCCTCGCGGTCACGGCGCGATCGCCAAAATGACGGCGGTAACGGGGTGATCGTTGCTATGACTCCGCGGTCACGGGGTGATCGTTGGTATGACTCCGTGGTCACAGGGTGATCGTTGGTATGACTCGCGGTCTCGGCGCGATCGTCGGTATGACTCCGCGGTCACGGCGTGATTGTCGGTATGACTCCGCGGTCACGGGGTGATCGTCGGTATGACTCGCGGTCATGGCGCGATCGTCGGTATGACTCCGCGGTCACGGCGTGATTGTCGGTATGACTCCGCGGTCACGGGGTGATCGTCGGTATGACTCGCGGTCACGGGGTTATCGTCGGTACGACTCCACGGTCACGGGGTGATCGTCGGTATGACTCGCAGTCTCGGTGCGATCTTCGGTATGACTCCGCGGTCACGGGGTTATCGTCGGTATGACTCGCGGTCACGGTGTTATCGTCGGTACGACTCCGCGGTCACGGGGTGATCGTCGGTATGACTCGCGGTCACGGCGCGATCGTCGGTACGACTCCGCGGTCACGGGGTGATCGTCGGTATGACTCGCGGTCACGGCGCGATCGTCGGTATGACTCCGCGGTCACGGCGTGATCATCGGTATGACTCCGCGGTCACGGCGTGATCGTCGGTATGGTCGGTATGACTCCGCGGTCACGGGGTGATCGTCGGTATTACTAGCGGTCACGGCGCGATCGTCGGTATGACTCCGGGGTCACGGGGTGATCGTCGGTATGACTCGCGGTCACGGTGTTATCGTCGGTACGACTCCGCGGTCACGGGGTGATCGTCGGTATGACTCGCGGTCACGGCGCGATCGTCGGTATGACTCCGCGGTCACGGCGTGATCATCGGTATGACTCCGCGGTCACGGCGTGATCGTCGGTATGGTCGGTATGACTCCGCGGTCACGGGGTGATCGTCGGTATTACTCGCGGTCACGGCGCGATCGTCGGTATGACTCCGGGGTCACGGGGTGATCGTCGGTATGACTCGCGGTCACGGCATGATCGTCGGTATGACTCGCGATCACGGCGCGATCGTTGAAACGACTTCGTCTCTTGCGTTCGCGGACCTATCGCTCGCAATAGCGGCGTCATTGGCACTCGCGAAGCGGCAAAATCGCCGGCGATCGGACCAAATCCCGTCCCGAAAAATTCCCGAATCAAATGTAATCCCGTCCCGATAATCGGGAATATTTTTTTCCCGAAAAATTCCCGAAATTTCGGGACCCGTCCATCCCTAGTGGTGAGTCCTTTAGTCGGTGGAAATATATAAGGCTTTTACAGATATTTATTGTTAAGCTGGCTTAGAGTAGTATGGCATAAAATATCATACGCCACTTGTCCAAAATGTGTTTACCGGACTCATGATAACGACCACACTCGCCCGGTAAACACCTATTTTCAGTACTAGTAACGTTATATACAATTATTACCATGAGAGAATACTCATGATATAACCTTAAAAGAGCCAAAGAGTATGACACTTAAAATAACCAAAAAATAACTGTCTACAATATTAGTTTAATCATTAGGGTAACTTGTAGGCCCTTATTATTACTTCCCTCTACAAACAGAAGAAGTAACCCGTTCGTCATACAAATTTTAGAACTGAAAAGGTGGATTATTCATTGTTTGGAATAAAACTGGTTTTTAATGATTTTTTGAACACAATGTGTGATTTTGTTATGTCCATTTTTGTAACAACTTCTGATGTTTTGAGCTGTCACCAGTTCTTCTGTATTATAAACTCGACTATATGACTTACCTGTAAATGCGAAAGCTGGGCCAAAACTCTAGAACAACAAAGCTGAAGGTGATATAAGTGACCACCAGTCTAGTTGTGATCATTGTGATGAAGTCATACAAGTTTTTCATCGCAGAACTGGTCTGGAACGAGTGTCTGATGACACTGTGCCGCACCTGATCAACATGTGCCACTTTACATCCGACTGATGACTCATATTGGAATACTTTTGTACTAATAAAAAAAAATATTAGTAAGTTTTTTTTACTCAAACTAAATGAAGAAGTCCTGGACAAATTACCACTGGTGTTTGTTTATATTAAGTTTTTGATATATTTCAAAGCCACAATGCTAATTATACAAGACAATGTTCTGTACACTAAAAACCTCCTTTGCTTGTAATTCTAACCAACTGACTGCTGTTAGTAAATCTAGCAACTTACAGCTCGTGAAGCGAAGGTAAAGAGAGCGCCACCAGCGAATGTTAGGTAGTAACCGGGGTAGAATCCATGCCAGAAGGACGAGAGAGCGTACGTGAGGAGAGTTCTATAGTTTTTACAGCGATCGTAGACTATCATACGCAGCCAGACATTGGTGCCTTTGTTCCAATACTCTATGGTCTCCTTCAAACTCGTGCCAAACTGGGGATAAGACGAGTGGTCAGTGTTTGTTACAAGGTTGAAGTTATACTAAAATACCATGCTAGAGGTAACCGCTGGTCAGTTGCCAATTTGTACAAAACACTATTTCATTGCCTAAACACATTTGTACGCTAATCATATTTCAGGGGGAGCAAGCTGGTCTAGTGGTTAGAGCACAGGACTTTGGTCTTTGATGTCCCAAGTTCAAATCCCACCAAATCACCTATGGATTTTATCGAAGTGATAATGCAGCAACGCCTAGGTCTAGCCTGAAGTAATGTGAAAAACAATCCCGGGCTCGTGCCTAGCTTCTTAGGGCAAAAAAACAATAATCATATTTCAGAAGAAATATTATTTTCAGTAACCGTTACAACATTTTAAGGAAAAGTCATATTAGCTGATTTATCTAACTTAGCTAATTAAGAGTTAATCTTATTATTAAACAAATAGGGTCACTTGACATAACACTGATTTTTGGTTCTATTATTGATTGTGGAATCTACTCCGAAGAAATCCTGTACTAGGATAAATATGGATTTTATACGAGTTATAGAGCCACAACCCCCTCTAGGTCTAGCCTGAAGTAATGTGAAAAACAGTAACCTAAAGAAAAGAAAGGAAAAAAAAACTTAAATCATCAAACGTTACACAAAAAAGCTCCTTAGTGTTTCCTTCCAGCAAAATAAGTTTGTGTGTGTGTATTTCTTCCTTTTTCTGTTTTTGTCCTAAGTAGAAGTAGAATAAACAAAGCATCTTTCTTTTTGGCAAACTCTAAACACTTCTACAAAGTCACAAAAGGCATGGCTTTCCGACTTGAATCATGTGTAAAACTAGCAAATCAAGTTAAAAGTACAATCTAAGTTGGTTTGTTCCACACTACCAACATCATAATATTGTCTAAGTTTGTCAGGCAACTAAACTACTCACCTCAAATCGAAAGACGTCAACATTTGAGATAAGGTCCCATTTGGGCGAACCGTCGGATGAATAGCCGTTAAAACCAAGACCAGACAGATTGCAAATGGCGTCTGCTAGCAGCCATGCGTGGTAGTACTTAAACCTGATCAGCAATGTGGCGATACTGAGGTAGCAAAGTTGAGACACTACGCTTGTACGCTCTATGAACTCATCTTCTGTAATGTACCATAAAACATATTCAAAGAGAATCATTAAAAGAAATATCTTCAACAAATTAAACCTGCAAAAGAAAGTAATTTGTAAAATACATCTACCACTGTCAACCATTTTGAGACAGAAACCTAAAAATGATTTCTTTACCGTTATTTTATTGTACATTTTGGTGTAAATATTACAAATAAGTGAATATTAGTATTTTCAAACAGAAAGATTACTTCTCTGTCTAATATTTTGGTCTAGGTGTAGGAAATTGAACTATAGATAGGTACACAATTTGCATAAATTATTATTAATAAATTCAACCTTTTAAAAATGCTATGTTTAGAAAGACCTCCCAAATTATATACCATACAACATTGAATAAAATGTTATAATATTTGATTGATCTACATTAGCAGAAATTAATTGCTTTTTAGTAAATAAACAATAAAAATTATTTAATATACTATCTAATTAAAAAATTATACCAATTAACACTCACACAACTCAAAATGTTTTTATCTGGACAAAATTAGTACTGTAGTAACATCTACTACTTAACCCATTGACGCCAACTCACGTATGAAGCCCATCACCACGTTTCGCGGCGAGGTAGCCGTTCTGCTAGCCAGAGGCGCTAGAGTAGTTCGCCAAATCCAGCCTGTGACTGCTAGTGTCAACAAGTGCTTATAGTGGCTATTGACCCGTTCGGCTGATAGTAGCAAGGTAGCTCAGATGGCTAAGGTGACATGTGTAGCGTTGAGGTCTTTCTACATGCACGGGTTAGAATTCCGTACAATCCATATTAACCTTCCTAATGAGTGGCTTAGTGACACCTTAAAGCTTGAGTGAGTGGTGGGACCACCTTAAACTCTGTCCGGCGTGGAAGTTGACGGTAGTGAGCTTAATTTTGCCTCTTCTTACATTACCATAGAGAAGGACACAGATTTTTATTTTTTTGGCCTTTATTTTAGGTGAAAAATGGAAACAATAATGGAATAAATACATAAAAGGACATAATAACATAAACAAATAATAGAGAAATAAAAAAAACTATGTAAGCCACACCACTTTGTTGTTTTATACTAAAAATTAATAAGCTTGTGTAATACTACACACCAAAAATATGGAACACTTGAGAAACTAATCTTATAAATTAAAATCTGAGTAATGAGTTAACTAACAAACATCAACTTTCACTACTGCTACAGCAAAACTAGGTTAAGCCGTTATTCATTGTTTTAACTGATAGTCTATCCAAATACAACAAATTGACCACAGCCTTGTAATAGGCAGAAAAATTATGCATGTTTTACTAAATCCACAAGCTTGAAGAAAACTACGCTAATTCTTTTAATCCTTGGTAGGATATAATAAACATTAGGGTATTCTCATCAGGTAAGTGTAGTGTAACTGGATTTCAATAGTGTCACAGGAATGTTTCAGCTTTCCACAATTCAAATATTTTGAATATTACAGCAAAGAATATTACGATACCGATGCATACTGTACTACTCATAAAAAAATACAACAGTGTTAAATAAATAATTCTCGTACAATATTTACATAAACATCATCGGCTCCAATTGATCCTCAAGAGCCCTCGGTTCTGCAAAAAGGAGTTCTTGTTTTACTTCTATATTGTATTTTGGTATCTTCTGCTAGTAAATTTAAACAACAGTTATTGTTAAGTTTAAATTGAAAATATTCTCCATACAAGCAACTAATATTAGTATGGCACTCTTTCTTGCAAATTAAACTTACCACCAAATGATTTATTTATTACAAAACTATTATACAAATAACAATAAAAACGTTCATAGACCATTTCAATAAATATTAAATATACAATTTGGCAATCCATAACTTGTAAAACAAATGTCAGAAGTAGAAACAACGAATAATGTTTCTTTTATAAAGTCTATCCTAGAACAGCTTTTAATGAATTAGAGAGCCAGATATATTAAAAGACTGTATCGCAAGTAGTACAAAAACTTGCCAAAGGGAGTGATCTAAAAGTATTTGATAGATTATAGTGACGTCTTAAATATAAGAGTGTGTCTATGTCTGCTCTGCTGATTCCATAGACCAACTACCAAAATATGAAAAAATATTTTAGCTTTTATAAATCAACATTCAAGTTCAATATTTTTATTTCATTATTTGTTTCTCTCTGTATATTCTTTTATTAAATTACTTTATGTTGGTTAAAACCAGTGCTCAATTTGTATAAAATGAGGTGCCGGAACACCATTCTGCCGTGTTCCTCCCAAATCGAGCACAGGTTAAAACGAAAAGTTATTGCAAAAATTGTTAACATTTGTGTTCATGTAGCTATTTTCTGGAACAAATCATTCATTTATTCTAATATAGAATGGTAAAACTGAGTTATGTCCACTTATAAACACTAAATTGCCAATAAAAAATATGAAACATTTAAACTAGTTTTTACTGTTTCACATTTCTTAGCCTGCATAATTAAATCACAGGCTAGCATAATTCTAGATTAAACATTTGGGATTTTTTAAGTTAGGTCACCTTTGACTTTGCTGATCGGAAACGATGAAACCAGTGTGACAAACAGCAGAGCGCAGAGCACACTCGCTGATATCTTTTTAATCACACACTTTGTGGGCGACGGCTCCAACATTAGCTTGGCTTGCATGTTGTCACCACTCAACTGAAAGACAATTTTTTTTTTAAATTTTGTGTGATAGCAGAAATTAGCTATAATTAATTTCAAAGATGCTGTTTTTCATCAATAATTACTCTTTTGGGTTAAGAGTCCCGCAAACTCGGCACTCGATAACCCGGCAGTCTGGATAACTCGGCCATCAGCTGGTTCAGAAAATTTGTGATTTTTTAGTTAAATATGTATGTAGCCTACAGTAGCCTAAACCAAGGGCTTGTTTCACCATATCTGATGACTTAATACTGACTTGTAATATAAATATAAATAAAAAAGGCAGTTGAAAAGCTTAAAAATTGTATTGTTCTTATTTTTAAGCCTAGTTCCCGATAACCTGGCATTTCACAAACTCGGCACCCTTCCAGTCCACATTGCGCTGAGTTTGCGGGACTCTACTGTATTTTTGTTCAAACAACATGAAAAAGTGAGTTCAAGACAACAAAAGGGGCAAAAATCATTATATTCTTAAAACTAGTGCACTAGTGTAGAAAAATTATTTTGGATTTAAAATCTATATTTTTTGGAGTAGATCATAAGTTATAGTCTGTATGATGGCACCTATCCCCTGACCAGGTCTACCAGAGACTGATTCAGGCCTTATACCATACTGGGAGCTACCCCCTGGGAGTTGTTAATGGGACGGATGTTGATGTAGTAGACCATTAACTGTGATCAATCACGGTCTAAGGCATTGTCTATCCTACAGTACTGTCTCTAGACCCAAGACAATGTTTGGAGTTCAAAGGGAACCAAATAATTGAAAAAGTACAACATGTTAACCAACACCGCATCACTTACGTCTGTGTGCTTAAGGAAGTTGTCACCGTTGATGTAATCTATGTAATCCCTGTAGAACACTACAGGTCCAGCCATCAACACTTGGAAGTGAAAAATATACGCAAAATACTCCAATGTCGATGGCATTTTTCTGCAAAATTAACAAATGCATTAAACAAACATCTACAAATAACCTACAAAAAACCAAATCTATTAAAAAATAAGAGGGGTTTTGTTCGCTCAACTTTTGAGGCGAGCCGAGCCTAGCCTACAAGCTCGTGCACCAAGCTCGAGCCAAGATTTTATGATTGTGACCACAGAACGTTTTTGCCAAAATTGCGTGATAATAAACACTTGCGCCTCAGTTATGGGTGACGGCGAAAAACGTTTCTATGATCATAGAGACGTTAATGACATCCACACAACTTTGGTTGATATATAGCATTTTGCAGTGATTGCGGAGATTGATGATAACACTTCTGTAATCATGGGAGATGAACCAGATTTTATGTGATTGCGAGTGGATTAGGTGTTGCCCACAGGACTGCAGGAAAAAGAGAAAATAATCAGAATATTACTGTGGTAACATTGTGATGAATCACCAAATTTATGGTTATACAATTTTAATACTGCTTACAAAATACATCATTTTAATAAATGATATTTTAATTTGCATTTTAACTTGACAGTCCTTGTAACTTGATAGTCATTGTAACTCGACGGTCATTGTAACTCAACAGTCCTTTTTTTCCCCAAAAGCTTGACTCAAGCTCAAATTAATCAAAGATCTCAGGCTCGCACACCTAGAAAAAAGCGTATTGGTTGACTTTCAACTATCCAACTTAATCCAACTATAACGCTTAAGGAACCAGAAGAGTGTTGGGTTACCAAAACCTTGGAGTTATTATTTGTTAACATTTTATTAATGCAAAAATGTTAACAATGATCATTTCATTTATTACCTAATGGCGTAGTATTTTTGTGTTGTAGTTAGTCCTTCTTCCTGTGTTATGCCATCATGAAGGTTATATGCTAAACTTGTCACCTTCTGTACTATCACCATCAGTGGACCTACAACAATAATTTAGTAATTCAAGTGAAATTCTACTTACATAATAATGAAAACCAAATAATATACTTGTACTTGTATCATTAATTCATAAACACTACCAACAGATTTAATATATTACAAACTATATTGAATTTTTGTTCAATAGTAGTTAGTCCAAGGACTCTGAGACATCATTCTGTCATACAAGGAAAACACATTTTTCTGTTTCAGAAATAATACATTTATTGTTTTTCAGAAATAAAATGTTTACTGATTCTAAAGTTTAGGTTTATATCAGGAAGGAAAATGTTTTTGTCGTGAAGAACAGCCCATAAAATATATAGTTTGCAAATTCCTTCAAAGCTTGCAGCAGATAAATTAACCTCTTACAGCGTTCAATTTAGGCTAAATCCTAAAGCAAGGTAACTAATTTGACTACAAAGTCTATTATCGATATAAATAAAATTAGAGTTTTGTCTGTACATTGCTCAGAATCATACATTTTTAAGTTATTTTTACGTTTTATACATTAAAGAAGCCGAAACAAGTCTCATCTAAATTTCTGTCTGTCTGTCTGTCTGTCTGTCTGTCTGTCTGACACACTCAAGATGGCATTTTACGCAATCTTCTCCAGGAAAACGAGAGTACCTATCAAGACCCAAGTCATTTTAATGTATTCACTGGATTGGCGAGAGTGTCTTTAGCCATTAAAATATGGTCTCACTACTTTGTAATTAAAATTACGGCCGTTCAAAAATGCAGTTTTGTGCGATTTTTGTCAAGTTTTCTTCCAATTTGTATCACATAATCATCTATGAAACAACGAACAGCTGTTCGGATCAAGATTATTTTTTCTAGCTGTCACTGAAATGTTTACAAATGTTGTTTACAAACACCACAACCATTTCCGATCACGTTTTGAAGGCAAATCCCATCCAAGTGAGATTAAAAACGTTTTTATTACATAAAGGATTTAATTAATCGCAAGTGGAATAATATAGTGTAACCGTAAATTAAATAACTAGGCATTATCCAGGTCAGGAACCAGAAATATGTGTATACAATTGTTTTGGAGTTTTGATAACCAGAAAGAAGACATTGAATCAAGATTGAATCAGTGTTGTATACGGCTGGGAAACTTAAATTTACTAATGACCGTCGCCAATAGCTTAGAAACAATGTTCCACTCATTGACGGCTCTTCAATGGCGGTTGTGTAAAGTGTAAAGCAAAAAATTACAACTGCAGTGGGTGATTGTAACAGAGGTTTACGGATGATGCTAAACTCGATTTTCCAATGTGTCACTTTCTGTTCCTACCATTGACTATATAAAGTCAATAGTTCCTACTCACCGTGTGATGCAATCGCTGGACCATACAGCCAAAGGCCCATAGCCCTTCTCTTGGGTACGTGTGGTACGTATGCTTACCCAATTATTTATAACAACCCTTTCGACAACGATCCTTGATACCGGTACTTTTCCATAGAATACACGGCCTACCTAGGTACTTAAGAAATAAAATTATAAACGTCCAAAAACCCAACGTTGTGTGATTTTTGTCACATTTCCTTATAATGTTAATATATATACCAGCAACCATTGTTTAGAGAATACGTAATCTATTAAATAACAGAAAGTTATGTTGTATAAGGTTTTTTTTCAAACTGACACCGATAAGTTTACATTAAGAGTTGTGTACAAATAAAGCAATTAATGGGAAATAACTTTGATTGCCGATAACTTTTTACGAGAAAATCCAAAACCAAGAGATCAATAACCTTGATTAACGCATATGATTTGTCGGCTGTACTACAGTTCTTAACTGTAAACGTTGGTTTTTGGTACGGTACTGGTTCTTTTCCTTTTAACCTTTAGTAGCAGCAAGAATCATTTTTACGTACCAACACATCACAGTAATTTACAAATTAGTTATCGTTGGTGTTGCACCTTATTTATTACAGGCGTAGGCCTATTCAATTTAATTGATGTCTTAACTGTATAATTTTTGCTTTTTCTGTCTGGATTCCAAAATGTTATGCTAAGAAAACTATAACGCATTTTAGTAAAACATTTATTCAGCAAACCATCATGAATTGTTCAAACACTTTGAACGTTGTTTATGTATCAATAGTTCGTGGCCTATTATGGTAATTTGTATTACAAATTACCAATCTAAATCGTCTATAGTAGGCCTACTGTACTTCATTTCATATAGCAAACCGATTCAGATAGCATTTCGACAGAATTTCGAGTCATCTCCGGTCCAAGCAAATATAAATTGTTATGATCAAATTTTATGGCATTAACAAAGATTTCAAGTACTAATTTTATATGTACCTTTTTATGCTTAAAGCGTAGCAGATTCCCTAATTAAGTTCGGTATTTTTGTGTGTATGTATGATGGTAACCCATTAATGTCCTTGTTTCTCAATGTTTCACGGAAAGGACAAGAGCGCCTTGATAATGAAAATGTCAACCCGAATAAAGTGGTAAATTAAGAGGTTGAGGTAGTACCTTAAATACTTTTAACCATTATGTTATAGTCCTTTAAACTCTGAACAAAATTGTACAAATCCCATTTCCGTATATTTACTCTCACCGCTTACACATGATAAAGGTTGTTGACAAACTTATGGGAGAAAGTATGTGTCAGAATGCTGATACCGTTTATTAAGTTTAATCATTGGATATAACATATGGACCAACAAGATCCGGGTGACATTTAATTGCGAAGCATTAGTTTTGGCTTGAAACTGTCAGATACTGTATTTGCGAAGGAATAGTTTTGTCAGCATATCTGAAAGTATGCAAACCAACTGCTGTGCTTTATATAAGAAGGTTTTAACTGACTATGATAAGATCCCCGTGCGTAGAACGGGCACACAGCTAGTTAATGTTATATATATAATACGTAAAGCCGTATTTTGTTAACGCAACTCCTCCCTTATTTGTGGACCAATTTCAACGTTTAATGTGTCAAAAGATTCTTCTCAATATGTAGTTTTGCTAAAGGTTTTAGAACTTTAAAATTTCTACTCTTAAGGACGTGAGACCCTCTCAAAGGTCGGGTTTTCCCCATAAGAAATACATAGAACAAATTTAAAAACAAAAAAACAGCTGTTTATAAAAAGAAACTCATTAGCTTTTTGGGAGTAAATATTAATGTTTAAATATTCAGTAGGTTAAGACCAAGTTAAACAGTTAATCACTTTTGTTGGATGAACGGAAAATGCCTGAAGTTCAAAGAAGAAATATTGAAAACGGGAGGAAGAGACAATTAATAATAAGGTATCTTACACATATAAGGAGAGTAGAAAAAGAGAGGCCTGGTCCAACACACACATCCATATACACATTCACTTGGTGAGATGAATAATATTTGCCAGTTCTGCTATGCAATTTACTTTGGAAGTCAAAAAATATACGAAGCACATAGTGTTGTCACGGTGGTAAAATAAACTTACTTAATGTCAGATCAAATTAATGTAAGCAAGAAATTCTTATGACACTGACAGTTCGAGATATTTCAAAACATTTAGTAGAAACCATGATAATGCCTTGAGTTGATAAGTTCAAGTAGTAAGATTAGGCCTATACCAAATCTTGGCGGACCTTATGTTTTTATTGTAAACTTTTGTATTACTCGCTCTACTTTAATTGAGGAAAAACACAAATGGATTGTTTACTTCTAGGTTATGTTGCCAGTTCCTCGGACAAACTTATACAAAGTTTTTTGACTGAATTTTAGTGGCAATATTAGACATAAGTGAAGGAATTAGTGTTTATGTATTCAACGACCGAGTAGTTACAGTCGTTTATTTTTATGATTCAGGAGAGGCAAATAATATACGCCGTTCAAAAAGAGAAAATTAAAATTGCTATCCAAATCTTATAGCTACAAGAGTTATCCAACCTATTTCGACAAATGAATCCATACCTTCAAAACTTTGAGAAACCCCACTGAACAACGTGGATGAGAAAGTTCTGATGCGGAGCATATACTGTGACTAACACACAACACGTTAAAATACGTTAACAAACTTATCAATGGTGTTGCTGCTTTAGCCTATTCAAAGCAGATTATGGCTTTCCAGTTGATAACCCAGAGTTTGGGGGTAAAAAGTTGAGCACTTTAAATGGTTGATATCACTCCACTTTTCAGGATTCTCTACGGAGAAAATTTGTTTGATTAGGGGGATGTCTAGGCAACAGTTTTCTTCAATTCTCTCTCAATGCTGGAAAAACTTTGTTGCAAAATGTTAGCTCGAATTGAAGCAGATCGTTTAGCATTAATTAGAAGTTATCAGTTAAAACTGAGAGCAGAAATAATGTAGATGAACCTTGACGACGCAAATAGAGATATTTAAAATTAGTTTCTAACAAGTGTTTAAACAACTCTAAGATGTAACTAGAATTAACTTACTCAAAAATTTAAGCATAATGTTTTCCTCGGCATTATGTTTCAAACTATGCGGTTCATTGAGCCGCACGGGTTCTCTAGTATCTATTATTTTTTTTAAACACAGTTACATTTTTGCTTCACTGAACAGAACTAGTATTATTTGTTTTCTTTATCAACTTTTATAAGATATAAACAAACTAAACAACAGAGACAGGCGTTACTAAACAGCTTTTCCTGAAGTCCTTGAGGCAAGCCTTACAAAGAATAACTGTTAAATGTGCTTAAACCAAAGTGAATACATAAGAAATTATCATTAAGTAATAAAGAATGAGGACCATCCAGAAAATAACAAACGTTGTGCATAAGCGCCACTTGGAGCGGGGCTGTTGCTGCCATCAGAGCACTCCTAGTTCCTACACTTTAGTAGTCAGTATGCATCATTTATTTTGTTCTTGTCTGCAGTGGGGTGTTCAAATGAACACTGTCATAGCACTGCTCTGAATGTTATGACGACCGCTTTGAGATAAAAAAATCACAAGCTAATCAAAATTTATCGCCGGATTTTAAGATGTTTTAGTTCAATTCAATTGCCCTAGGTGCCCTTAAACCACGGGAAGACCCTGTATACATACGTAAGCAATTTAAGAAGTATGCAAAGTATCTAAAAAAAAGTAAGATTGTGAATAAAACCAAATCAAAATATAGTTTACAATAAGTTAATGAGATCCCATTGATGGTTATTTTGACACACATATTCCACCCACACATCACTAAAACTAGTAACATTGGATGACATTTTACGTTAGGTTAGGAAACAGAGGAATGTAGGCCTAGGGTGAGTGCACCAGTAAATGACCGATTAAGCTTGAGTTTCCACTTGTACAGGGTGCGGCAAAAAACGGATCTATTTTCTGAGCGGATGTTCAGTGACAGGTCGTCTAAGGGGTAGGCTCGTTGGAAAGCCTACACAATGCCATTATCTGAAGTCATAGAAGAGTGGTCATCTGAGCAATGTGCGTTTGTCATTAAGTTGTTTTTAAAAAAGTAATGATTCAGTCATTGCAACTCAGCGGCAGTTCCATGCATTCTTACAATTAGGTAGTCATGGGGAGGTTCCGTCACGATTATCTGTATAGATAATCAACAACTTTATACAGATTAATTCAAATTTGTCTGTGGAGATGAAAATGATTAAATATCACCTCAAATTCAAGTATTCGAACGGTCAAACATGTTCATAGCAGCCACTTATTTTCATGCGGGCCTATGTGGACTGTTCCATAAAGCAGCACATACTCTTTTGAATGTTTATTTGACTGGCGTCTGCTCTTACTTTGCAGGGCCAGTTAGTTCTTTTTCAGTGTTAGTTAAAAACCCATTGCATGATTGTGCTACGTGACAGAACCTCTTCACGTCGACGTAATTTGAAGAATGCACGGAAGACGGAATTGCCACTGAATTTTAAAGACTGAATCTTTACTTTTTTAAAACGACTTGATGACAAACACATGTTGCACAGACCACCACTCTTCATTGACTACAAATAATGACATTGTGTAGGATTTCTAACTAGGAAGTACAGACTCGGTGACCCGGAGGTCGGGAAATTTCCAATAACGGATAGCGCTTGGGGTCAAGAATGTGATGTCTTTTATCTGATTGGTTTTTAATTGGAGGTCAATTGCTGACCTCGGGGTCAAGAATGCGGCACACGCCAGGCACGCGACTTCTACGTCATCTTGATGTCACGGGGATTTCCAGCTTGAAGGAACATTTCATTACTACGCCATTTTAAATTTTGAAGCTCGTTTTCGTGTCTAGTTCATGTCCGGTGACACTGATCGCTTGTGTCGACAACTTTTGGTTCCTATTATTTTATGGTTAATTTCATGATTAGTGCTTTACTGTTTGGTTATGTAACTAGGAGACGAGAATTTGTTTATGATTAGATTGTTTTTTGGTTAAACAAGGTTTTAAATGACTGAAATAAACTGTAAACAAAACACAACATCTACAGTGCAAACAGAACAAATAATAAAATTGGCTTCAGCTGTTCCATAAGGATGAGAAATTTACAAAGGGAGTATGTTTTATCTATGATTTAATGCATCAGAAAACATTGTCTTTTAAATAACATTGATCCATATCTAATTAATGAATGATCATGGTTGTAACCATAGTTTTAATCCTGTAAATTAATGAATGTTGAAATCAATATTGGTTAGGATTTTGATCCTAAAAGGCGTACAGAATTGTACCTAAACATGTCAACTGTGAATTACAGTTTCCACCAATAATCAAAAACCAAGAAAAATAAAACAACCTTTTTGGTTTGCTATAATGGGAAGCTTAAAGATGAATTGGTTGGGGCTTAATTTTGTTGGGGCTACAAACCGAAGAGTGGCACTTCCTTCTAGAACAAGTGACACGGCAGATTTAAATCAGACTCCAAAGTTACTTTTAAGAAAACTTGTGATAGTCTAGGCAGAATAATAAAGATTAATAAAATGTTTTTCATACAAAACGGCCATTCACCGGGGGTAGGTGGTCATTTACTAGTGCACTCGCCCTATATTTACAAGGTGATTTGAAAAGCTTATAACCAATTGAGACGAGAGTGTTATGGTTATGGTTTGTACCTGTAATGTCCAATGTAAGTGAGCCGTAGTCGTAGATTTGTCTGTGAATGTGAATACAGGATAGGTAGAACATGGACACTGCCAGTACCAGACTGTAAACATACATACACACACACACAATCAGACCAACACAGCTACCAACCAGTGTATCAAACAAATACCATAGTGTCAAGTGTCATAGCATCATCTTGAGTTTAGAATGATGGACCATTTTTAACCAGGGGTCTCCAACCTACTGCCTCGCGGGCCACATCCGGCCCTCGAACAGATTTTATCCAGCCCGCAAAGGGTTTGATTGGCCACATCAGCGTTCGCACAAAAACGTACTGAATATTAAGTAATATTTTAGTAACTAAAAATCAACAAGAAAATGTCAAATATCTCCGCTGAGCTCTTAATTAGAAAACTACCTAGGGTTATTTGGAAGGGGGCTACCTTTCTGCACTGAAAAGTTAACGGTCGGACCTACCTTTCCTTACAAAATTGACAATCCGGCCCTTGGGGAAAAAAGGTTAGAGACCCCTGGTTTTCTATGACAACTGCATAGCCGGTAAATTAGCAAGATTAGCTTGAGAGTTGAGAATTAACTTAATGTTCAAAACAAATGATCACGTAATATTTATATAATTACTAAGCGTTTATTGAAAAGTGTAATGTTTATACTTGTACAATTTTTACTATTGTTTTCTGTGTTCACCTTACTGTCCATGTGGCTTGTCGCAGCCTCATTTGGGGGAAATGCACAGCCACACATAAAAATGTCTTGATATGCCTTTTTTTCTAAATGTATTAAAAAATGTTAAGCTCAAACATCCGTCAAACACCCTTGTGACAAGCAAACAGTTCAAAAATACCACCACAATGAAACTTTTCATCGGTTAGGTGAATAATTGATGTAAAATCGAGCAATAGCTTACCTTTGAAAGATATGAGGGTCCTGAGTTCGTAACACCAAGTAACACAAGGCTGGCAGACCAGCAAGATGGACTGCTTGCCTGTAACATTATGTAATTCTAACAAGAAAATTAAATATGAATGACCAGAACATGAAACAAGATATCTTTTTTGTCCTAGGACACTAGACAAGAGTCGGGATTGTTTTTCTCATTAATTCAGGCTAGAACTAGGGGTTGCGGCATTATGACTTAGATCAAATCTATTGGTGATTGGCGGGATTTGAACCTGAAACCTCAGAGACCTGTGCATACTCCCAGACTTGATACAAGATATTAAGGCAACATACTTTTATCTTTACTTAGTGTAGTGACATTGTGTAATGTTGGTTTATCCTGCTCATGAATCTGCTGAACACAATTTAGGGATCTTTGCGCAAATTGCACATTATTAGAATTAAAAACTTGTTTCCAAAGCAAAACTAAAAATACAATACTCTTTTACTTTTCTAGTTGAGTTCAACTACAGTACAGTATGTTTTAAGCTTTTTAATTTGACAAGTGGAATTCGGATGTTGTAGCGTGTGATGATTTTGATTCTAAAAAGCGTACAGAATTGTACCTAAACATGTCAGTGAATTGCAGTTTCCACCAATAATAAAAAACCAAGACTAATAAAACCAACCTTGTTGGTTTGCTTTATTAGATAATAGGATAACAGCCTCGGCAGCAAAAATATGTAAATTACCAATTAAAGTTATTCCATCTAAATTATTTTCAACAAAAAAAAGATAAATTCATTACCTGCCAAAGGCAAAATAACCCATAATGAGCCCCACAAGCAGGCCAACGCCGTGCCGGACTTCTTGCGAGGTGTGTTTTGGATGCAGCACTCCTCTGAACAAGGGTGCCAACAGCACCGCTGTTATTTGGGTAGCGGTGAAATTTATCTGAACAGAATACAATTACGTACTATGAGTTGAGAGCTTTTGCAAATTTATTTATTACTTTCAAGACTTAGGCCTATGCTAATTCATCTAACTGCAATAAATAGAGTTAAATTAAAAACATTACAATTTAGCTTTGTTTAAAGAGTAATAAATTAGCTTGAAAAATAATAGGCCCTACTAACTATTGTGCAATTTACAAAATATGGTTAGATTATTCAATGAATAAAATATTTCCAATACGTCATCGGAGTTATTATTATTTTAACTTGTTTCATCTATCCTACCTTCCTTTTGAAGAACATTAGATAACTTAATATTAAAATCGTGTGGATGGATCTTTTATGGTAAAAACTTCCGCGATTTTGTCAGTACAAGGCAGATTAAATGTATGTTACCTAAGAATATGGAAGAAGTGATGCAGTGTTATTTTCAAAATTTTCACTTTAAGAGCAAATTCAAATTTTTCAGCTTGATAACTTTCAAAATCATTCACACATTTCTACTTACCTACATAAAAAAATAATAACAAATCAATCCAGTTGCTGTAAACCACTATTAATTTGTCAAAATATGGACACCGCTCAAATCGTCAAAAAATGTTCAATGATTGAAAACATGGCAATAATATCATGAATCTATAGGCCTAATGGTCTGTCTGAAATAGGCTAGTATGATAAAATATAAGTAGGCAAAAGTGGTAAAAAAGGTAGAAGCCAACTGTACAATAGATAGGATAAGTTAACTCGATAAGAAATAATTTTAAGAGTTACTGTGATATTAAGATTTTTAGGCTAGGCCTAACTGATTATGGTACTTTCCTTAAGATAAGATAATATTGCAAAACATGACACGATACAGAATAAAATCAATTTTAAAATTCATCAAAAATTAAATGTGTGAAACTAAGTTATTCATATTATAGTCATAATGTAAACAAATCTGATGAGGAAACTTTTAAGACCTCTGGGGTAGAGCCACAAGGGAATTTACCTCGTTTCTCTTTTGATGGTTCATCTACAGACAAAAACCATTCTTTAGACACCCTTATTAAGTTTCTACGCCCAGCCGTTTTCTCAAATTAGCTGTGACAAAAACCCTGTTTTTTTTCTTCCATAAGAGTCCATGGGAATGGAATTTTAGAGGCTACTGGGGCAGAGTGAAGTCCCCCCGTTTCTCTTTTGATGGCTCTTTTACGGACCAAGACCTTTCTTTGGACACCTCTACCGAGTTTCCAGGCCCAGTCGTTCTCTCTCAAATAGGTGCCACAAAAACGCAGTTTTAATAACTTACTTTTAAGTTATTCCTACTCCATAAGAATAACATGGGGAGAAAATTTTAACTTTGCGAGTGTGAGTAATTAAAATAGTAGCAGCTAGCCTACTAGTAGCGACGAAAAAAGTCGCTAAGTGTGACACGGCCTTAAGTTAGACCTTTAAACAGTCACAAAACTGCAAAAAACACAAGATATCTTCCGCATATGCCATGGGTACGGTTGTGCAGAGAAGCTGCGATATTATATTGGTCCACACTAGGGATTAGTGTCACCAGACATGAACAACAAGCTTAAAAATTTGTAATGGCATGAGAAGTTTCTGTTGGTTAGTGTCTATGGCCTAACCTAACTTTAGGCTGTACAGGAAGCTGTCATTATGAGGCATAAACTAGTGTAAGTTTAAGCATGTCAAATTTACAGTGTTCCTCTATGTATACAACAGCGTTTTGACAAGCCACGAATTCTTATTGCCTACTGCCCTCAATAATTTGAAGTCAACCGATTCTGGGTCTTACCAGGTCAATAGATATGTTGGTGTAGTCTGTAATCCATTTGAATATTCGGCTTCCATCATAATAAGAATCACTGACAGGATCCATTTTCATTTTAAGTAACTACATCGATTTCATAACAATGTGGAACCCTTATCTTTAAAGTTATTTAATGACACATTTTCTCATAGCATGACAAGAAAGACAGTTTTGTAACATATTTCCACTTCCAGCTAGATTGTTGTCGTTGTCGTAACTTCAAACTTCGTCTGCGTGCGTTGCGTCTGCACTAACTTGACTCTAACTAAACTCAGTTCAGTTTCAGTTGTTCAGTAAAAAAAGGAATGTGTGGTCTGTTTTTTTTAACCTGCCAATTGGCTGGCAAAGCTTACTATGGAACTTCGTTGTTCACTATTTGGATTGCTGCACGGCCACCTTTAACTTCGGACCGCGGCTTTCTAAGTGGCAACTGGTAGCACTGGCAACTGGCACGGTCACCTTTAACTCCAGGCCGCGGCTTGGTAGAATTGACAACGTCGCAAGTAGGATTGTTTAGTGTCAGCATCGAAGTATATAACCACGGCCTCCTTTAACTACAGGCCGCGGCGTTCGAAGTGGCAACACCGCATCGGATGGCTGGATGGCTAAGCTACGCTACACCACTGAATGCTCACATCGCGCCGTGGAGGATTGGAACAAGCACGCGAATTATCTATTAATTTAGATGTTTTATATCTGATAACACTGATGTGTAGGAAAAGAAGTAAATAATTATACGAGGCTTTCGTGTCAATCCAAGAATGTAATACAATATTTATTTAACACGTTCGCTACTGAGCGTCGCATATATGCGACGCCACGGTCATTGACTGGGACGGGTGGCGTCGTCCTGTAATCCAGCTACTAGGAAGTCACGAATTGTGGATATTTATAGGGATGCACTGTGGATGCGATACTCCCTGGTGTGGATTGACGTCCGCGCTAGTGAGTACTACGACTATCCGCAGTAGGATCCTGATAATTAGACCAATTCGTTAATTACGAGGAAAAATGTGGTTCGGATTCCACAATAAACTGTAGGTCCCTTAGTTGCCATTAGCTGTATGGGCTATTAATTAACAGCTGTGTCTAAGGAACATGTCGGCCTTAGTCACTAACAAGACTACAAGATCGCGCCACTCATCCTACACTCATCCTTCACTCATATTTGGGTTAAAATACGCACATAGTGGCGTCCCCATCTTAAATAATTGATAATTGATTGATTGATTGCCACAGACCGAGGTATACATTTGAATCTTACACATAGACCGACTGTCACTTAGATAACAGTACACACAGACCACGGGCGAAAACCTGTAAAACAGCGATCATTTACATTGTAATACGCTACAATGGTGTTTGTAAATAAATTATTCTTGTTTATTTGTATTTTTTATAACCTTTTGTAATGTCGCATATTTGCGACGCCCGGTCTACAGCGAAGACAATAATGAAAATTATCATAGTTTTCTTGAAATAGACTAAACGTCGCATATATGCGAGAGTAAATTTTTTTGTGTTTTAAGGTGAAAGTAAGTAAAGAAATAAACAAATTATTCAAGAACAGTTTATAACTGAACAAATATAAAAGCTACATAGGATAATGCAGCATACATACTGCATACATACATAAAGTGATGCAGAAAAGTAAAGACCAGTTTTTCCAACTATTATATGACGTCACCAATCATCATATCCACAGACCAAGCGACGCAGTTGTACGTCAGACATCTCTGTAGACCACTGCAGGGAATTCAGTGCCTTCAAATAGACCACTACAAAGATATAAGCATTTTAATAACATTAGAACCCCGACGCAAATATGCGTCGGCAGTCTATTTTAATGTGACTAGCCGTCGCATATATGCGACGGCAGTCCATGGGTGGAAACCGGCCGTCGCATATGTGCGTCGCTGGTCCATGTGAATGGAAAATTTCGTACTATTGCAGTAGCGAACGTGTTAAACCTTTTACGGTACATTGAACGTAGGCGTATGATTGTAGTTTTCTTCCGTCTCTTCTACGTATTTACACTATGATTTATTAATTGTTAAACACTTAAAATTTAAATCCTATCTACAATTTTATTTAGTTACAGCTTCTATGTAAGCTATTGTTTTATCATTAAAATGATGACGTTTACTATACGAAGTAAAAATTGACAAAAACAATAAATAAAATTATTTTATTCAAGAAAGGATTGACATTTTTCTATTTTTACAGTGGCTATTATTTTGGTATTTTTTACTTTCGTGTAGATATTTAACAAACATATTGCTCATTCTCAAAATAATTTTTGGTACTATTTCCTTCAAATTATTTATTCCACAAATACAAACAGTTTCAGCTATTTCTAAAATATCGATATCTGACATAAAAACCACTGTCACTAAAAACCAGCCAACACAGAAGAACAACTGTTCGCTAATACGTACAGGTTGTCGCTAATTTTAGTTATTCGCTAATTCCACCTAATTCAATTAATATGGTGGTCGCCACGCCACTATTGGTTGATGAGCGCTAAATTAAAAGTTTTCGGTATCCCCGCCTTCCGATTGTCTGTTGCAAGAATATTATCAATGGATTAGATATTAATGGTTGCGCAATAACAGAATGAATGAAGTACCATACCATTGGCATGAAGGGTTTATTCCCTAGCTCTGTACAAAATTTCAAAATTTTATCTCAATTGTAAGGGTGTAAAAATGCAGTATATTTAAACCGCGACCACTAGTTTCGTACTACCGTAATGGTGAAATGGCCGGGAGTTAATGCTCAGTGCGACGTTGCCAATTCTCGCTGGCCGCGGCCTGTAGTTAAAGGAGGCCGTGATATAACACAACTGGAATGCTAGGTACGTGTTCACGAAAGCGCGCCGTTGTAGCAGCCTTCCCGCACCACCATGGGGGACCCAGCGGATTTTAGCCAATTCATCGAATAGTGCGCGAAGTTGTTAACTCGCTCCTAGCCTTCAATAACAAAGATTAAGTACAATGATGTTTATATATTTGTAATCTGCATCAAATGCAGAATGTAATGGTATAAATAATTTTTACTTTTAATTTGAAATATAATTTCTATAGTTAAAAAGAGTCAAAGATTTCTTCATTGTGACATGAAAAAGTTAGTATGCGAGGAAGTATTTTATTTTTGGGCCAGAAGAAAACTGTAAGCGACAAAGTTGTAGTTTAAGAAATGATTTTTAACATGTGATCGAGCAATTTACAATTATGTGCGCAGTTTGTTTGTAGTAAAGTGATTAATAGCGCGACGAGATTGATTTTATGTCGCACCAACCGCCTCACTCCAGCAACTCTTTATGTTTTTGCTACTCGATCATTGTAAAGCTAAATAAATTTTAACCTTATTAATATTTGATATAAGTTAAAGAATATAACTATTCTATGGATGTGATCATATATTTTATTTATTTGCAGAAGATAAATATCAATACCGGTAATGAGCTGCCGCTGAGTTGAAGAAACCCTATGAAACCGGGTTTTCCGCTCCGTTGAATGAAATACTCAATGTAATACAATTTACAATTGTGTACTAATTCCTATATTAGTAATGACTCTTTGGAACTAACAGACTTCAAAGAAAATGTATTGTATTACATTTGTGGCTTTGTTGTGCGAAAGGTAGATATAGCAGTTAACTGTAAAGAATGTTTTGTAACTTACTCTATGACAGTTCTGCGATTAATTCAAGTTTTTCAAAGTTTACTTCTTTTGTGTCAAATGGTAAATTGATTTATGTTACCAAGGAAGTTTTTAGGTTTGTTAAGTATTTGTATATTTTGTTCTTGCAAAATAAAGATTCGCCTCAGTTTTGTTCTCGTAGATGCATTTTATCAGCATGCATGAAATTTCAAGGAAATTTGTTTACAAACCATGTTTCAAGCAATGACATTTCTGATGAAAGTCACGCTTTGAAACTAATGAAAATGATAGGGACATTATTTTATAAAACAGTTCGTTTCGCCAATGCGAGAAACATTATGTATGAATGCAATAAAAATAAATTAGGTGTAAGACAGAAATTTAAGAAATTGGTTTTGTATAACAACATTTAATGTATTCAAGCACTGTTGTGGACATTAATACATATTCTTAGAAATTCTGTTTAGTATTATTAACCAACCAATATAACAAATACTCCTATGTCAAAGGAACGAGGCCAACAAATCGATTTGTATATTTACTATTCAATTGTTGTTATTGCCTTTACGTTAAATACTTTCTAGGTTTAATATTTATGACCTTATTTATTACTTGCTCTCAACCTTAATATTTGAAATTTCTCATTAATTACCCAACAAAGCAGATATTAAAAGATCCCTTGTTACAACTAAACAAAGGGGGTTAGTTGTAAAACAGTTTAGTTTTAACACAGTTTAGTTGTAACACAGTTCACAGATGTAACACATATATACGTATGTGTTACCTGTAATACAAATTTATTTAGTATAACTATTGATTGTACTCAAAACGTTTCTGGGAGTACCGTAAACGAAAAGATCAGCGGAACCAGGGAGAACGGCCCGCGGCGCGATTTATAAAGAACCTCTTTGCGTTACTAATTACTCCATTACACACGACTAGAAAATTTTATATGAAATTTCTTGGTTACATGTTGAAGATCATCTCATTAGCTACAATTTTGTCGCTTGAAGTTTGCTTCTGACCAAAAAATAAAAAAAATCCTCGCTTAGTAACTTTTTCATGTCAAGGTGTGATATTTGTTTAACATTTTTAGTTGTTAAAATTCGAATTACGATTTAAATAAGATTATATTTATACTGTCAGATTCTGCAGTTAATGCAGATTCCGAATATATAACTTTAATTGCAGTCAACCTATTGTATGCACGGCCAGGAGCGTATTAACAACCGCGTGCACGGCACAAGGAACTGACATATCTGCGTCGAGTCCACCTTTGTGGTGGGGGAAGGTTGCTGAGACGGCGCGCTTTTTATCCCAAATCTCCTATCTACCCGGTGTTCCAGTTGTGTTATATAATTCGATGAGTGTCAGCCGTCCTATAAGATAACATGGTAGACAGGTGACATCACTGACATCAGCTCATTACAGTAATTCGCACTTTATTGATTTAAAATTAAATTTACGAACATATTTTTTGAATATTGAAAACCAAAACAATATGAATTGAAAACTTATATCTGTACAGTTAAAGTGGAGTCAATATTTTCATGGTCCAGTAACC